CCTGTAATTTCCACAGCTGTTGAGCACTTAACAAGGCACTCAAGGTGTGGACCCGGGTCAGATTCTAAGGTCCTCAGAACCTTACTGCTGGTGGTAAGAGACGACTGAAACAGGCAACCTGTTTGACGCGGGTTGCGCCCCAGTGTCGGTGGAGGAAGGAATTCTGGTATTTGACAGCACTGATTCCTGGAACAGTGTTCCTTTGCCCAACACACCACTTCGGCCCTTACTTTACCTAGACGGGTTGTAGACAGCTCGGTTCTAACAATCGGCTGGTCACGCTAGGCCCGGCCCTGTGCATAGTAAATAATTTTGCACATTCAAGTCATCATTGGGTCTTGGCCATTTCGATTTTTCCTAATTTACAAATTATTGATACATTGAATTGCCAAAGAGTCCAATGCCAGAAGTTGGTGGCTCATGGGCCAATCTGGTGATGCCGACCTCCAAAAAAAAACATCATACTGATCCGTCTAATAAAAGACCAATATATTCAACGAGTTGTGTCTTGAGAAAAACCATGAAATGAATGATAAATGAAAGATTATCGTGGTATCTGAAACCTAATAACATAATCATAAATAGAAAATGCGGTTTCATAAAGTTCTATTAATCATTTAGTACTATTGGGTTACTGTGTTAAGAATGCTATTGTAACTTAACATTTTTCTTTGATCTGGAGAAGGCATACGATTCTACTTAAAGGATTTCAGTGATTTTGGTTTGAGAGGTCGTTTAACTCAACTAATATCACAGTCGTTTACAGGCAGGTAATTTTAAGTCTGAGTGAGTTCAACCCTGTCTGGCCATTACAATCAGGATCAGTGAGTGAGCGAGTTTTCTAGTCACACCGGCAGTATTTCAGCCGTATAGTGACCAAAACAAGTTTTACAATCAGGATCAGAGTATGAGGCATCTGAATAATAGATAGAAAATAATATAATTGCAGTCGGGCTGTTGTAGTGCTCGTTTACAGTTCATGCATGCTAATCTGGCTAGTAGCCAGACTCATTTACATTTATATGTTGATCACGCTCAGTCCCGTTTTTAATGACAATGACATTGAGTGCGAGGTAAAACCAGTCGCTGAGTGACAACCGAGATACAGGCACGTGTAGCGGCAAGGTAGGAGTCATCATCATCATCATCATCATCATCATCATCATCAAAATCAGGTATGAATGCGTGAACGAAAAGAGGATACAATTTCTTAAAAATTCGTAGCATTTACCTGTCTACCTGCATAGATTATCTTAAACCCCAAGTGGAAAAGATCAGTAACATATATGTGTATACCTATACTGGGACTTTTTTAGAATTGTAATATCTATTTCTTTTTTTTTAACTTTTCTCTCATTTTGTATGCATAATAGATAAAAAGAGCAAGAATGTTTATGCCTTCAGTTGTTGTTGTTTTAAGGATATTGCTAAACGATATCATACTAACGTGCAAATTCTTAGGCAGAAATCTACTCCGAAGGTGATATTCATCTTCTAAATCTACTTTACATACAGGACAATTTCTTTGAGATACATCAAGATTATTCTTTAAACATAAGAAACCAGCTCTAAATTTGACCAATACTTGATGACAGATACCCCTTTGGCTCACGAAATATCTTAGATTCTGTATATAACTTATAACGTGAACTGGCACCCGTGAAGAGCCACCTCCTGGTAACGCTAAGAGTTCTTCAATCCCCCCGTGTGGACCCGGGTGCATATTTGGTCCACCATCCTGTTTGCCGTGGGTTGCGCCCCTGTGCCGATGGAGGACGGGATTCTGGTGGTTGGGGACACTTGTTCCAGGAATAGCGTTCTTTTTGCCCCACACAACTTCGCCCCTTACTTCAAGTAGACGGGTGGTAGAATGGGCCCGGTTCTATCAATCGGCTGGTCATGCCAGGTCCTGTTCATGGATTTTATGTAATTGCATAAAATTTGATTTGGAATTGTTTAAATTTTGGTCTTGGCGCCCCTGTTCATAGAACAGCATTTGACTATAATATATATTTATCATGAACTCGGTGTCTTATGCTCTAAAGTCGGTGGCTCAAGGGCCAATCTGGTTGAAAGTTAATATTTTAGCTTTTTCTGCTGGAGTATATCATCCGGGTATCCTTGGTGCTACAAGCAGGAAATCCAATTGGTATTAATATTGTCTTTACGATACTCCGTGGTGGGTGGGAGCTCGGGTGGTGAGCCATATTACCAACAAACATAGAATACCAAACCCCTTAAAAAACAAATGTCCACTGGAAAATGAAGATGGGCAACGACCTTTAACGTCTGTAGAACATTGGTCACGGTTTTTATTGATTGAGACAGTTGACAAAACATGTCTCAAATTGAACCCTTTTGCAATACCTAAGGGTGAGTGAGTGAGTTTGGTTTTACGCCGCTTTTAGCAATATTCCAGCAATATCACGGCGGGGGACACCAGAAATGGGCTTAACACATTGTACCCATGTGGGGAATCGAGCCGGGTCTTCGGCGTGACGAGCTAACGCCTTTACCACTAGGCTACCCCACCGCCCCCAATACCTAAGGGTGTTCAAGGCATAGCTGGTGAGGTTAAAACGTCAGACGATTAAGATCAGTTTTTTGCTAATAGAATGCAACAGGAAGCAACAATCCACCAACCCTCATGTCAATAGTTTCGTTTGTCGGTGTTCCTGATTCAGTTACAGCTCATAAAACACTCAATACCAGTACAGGAATTGTTCGAGACAGGGATCAGTTTTTTATTGATATGACTGAGGCTGAAATAGTGTTTGAGATGCAAGATCAAGGAGTTATGTATGATAAACGGTTCTCCACACGAAAGAACTCACAAACACAACCTAAATGCTACGAAATTGTTTCCTCTTTTCGTTCACGCATTCATACCTGATGATGATGATGATGATGATGATGACTCCTACCTTGCCGCTACACGTTGTATCTCGGTTGTTACTCAGCGACTGGTTTTACATCCCCGGACGCTCTAACCACTATCGACCGCGTCATACCAAAATACGTTAAAATATGGCATTTGTTGGTCCCTGCCTGGCGCTCGGCATTAATGGGTACAACAAGGACTGGTCGGCTCGGAGTCAGTATAATGTGTCTGAGTGGGGTATTCTTGCTTCACTGCGGCTTGGTATCTCAGTGGGCTAGAACTATAAAACCAGCTTAAGTCTGGGCTAGTACAAGCAGCCGCACATACACATACACACGCATGCACGTCGTCATATGATCGAAATATTCTCAAGCACGACGTTAAACCCAAATTCACCTCACCTCACCTCACCTCACCTCACCTCACCTCACCTCACCTCACCTCACCTCACCTCACCATTGTTGATATGTACCCACAAAATTGCAGCCTGCGATCATCTCTTAAGACCAGAATACAAACATGATCAGTCAATGTCTCATTACTCTTGTCCGATTCGGATAAAACTTTTTCATTCACAAACTTTTGTTAAACAGTGACAAGTATGACAACGAACGAGACGAGTCATGGGTTTCCAATGGATGAGAGAACTAAAGACGATATACATGTGGACAAAGAGTCTGCAGATCAGAGGGCCAAATGGAATTCACGTATTGAATACATCCTCTCCCTTGTTGGCTTTTGTGTTGGATTCGGGAATTTGTGGAGGTTCCCGTACGTCTGTAACAGAAATGGCGGAGGTATCAGAAACAATCTCTTTCTGTAGTGATTAAGCACAGTATGTGGCTATGATTACACATTGCCATTTAGAAAGAGGTCAAATGTGAATATGTTATATTTGGGATTACACTTTCTTAGTAAAGTACAAATTCTAGTACTTTTTGGGTTGAGTCGCATCTGCGATTCGAACCCACACCCTCAGAGTCAGGCACCTAGTCGCCAGCACACAAAGTCAGCCGCCTGACCCGGTCAGCCGTCGCGACTTCCAGTATGTGGATCTGACATTGTTTGATCTGGCTGCGATACTGTTGATAGCAAGTTATATATATTTCCTTATTTTGTACATTTTTGCCAGGGTTGTGTGGTAGCCGGCTGGTTCGAGCGTTTGCTCGTCACACCAAAACACACAGGTTCTATTCCCCACGATGTAAAGCCCAGTTCTGCTGCCCCTATATATGTTGCAGGTATATAGATGTGTTAAAAGCGGCGTAAAACTATTCACTCAATCTATACCATAATATGTATGTATATACGCTCAACGATATATATTTGAATTTGAATTTATTTGTTGTAAATTACTAAACGATAAGCGATTGAAACTGCCTTTGGATGTTACAAATTGCCTTCGAATATGTTCTGACACCCACGTTTGGTTGTTTGTTTACTCCACAGGCGCCTTCCTGCTGCCGTTCCTACTCTGTATCTTAATCATTGGGTTCCCCGTGTTCTTCTTGGAAGCCTCACTGTCTCAGTTCTCCGGGAGGGCGACTCCTTGTGTGTGGAGTTTCTGTCCTATATTCAAAGGTTGGTATGATGTGCATGGATACATTCATTCAAAATTATCGAAGGAAATCAGTTTAGAATTATCGAGCAAAGAGACCCGTGAAAATCCGGGTTAGAATATTGATCTTCAGTAACCCATGCTTGTCGTAAGAGGCGACTAACGGGATCGAGGTGGTCAGGCTCGCTGACTTGGTTGACACATGTCATCGGTTCCCAGTTTCGTAGATCGATGCTCATGCTGTTGATCACTGGATTGTCTGGTCCAGACTCGAATATTTACAGACCGCCGCCATACAGCTGGTATGTTGCTGAGTGCGGCGTAAAACTCAACTCACTAACTCACTCACTCGAGCAAGGACATTGCTGTCTGCATCTTGTTTATACATGGAGTCTCCCGAAATAAATTGCTGGAATATTGCTGGAAAGCGGCGAAAAAAATAAAACCACCTAAATGAAAGTCTCAAATGAATGATTTGACTGGTAGATCGTTTGTACTGCCTCCAAGGAGGCAAACAAACGTTTCTAGAAACATGTAGTCAGATTCTTGTGACCATTTGTCATGGAAACAGGAGTTGGTGTCGGTGCCCTGGTGATGTACGTCGCCTGCATCCCGTCCAACGGCATCCTCCTGGCCTGGCCCATCTACTACATGGTCAAGTCCTGCTCCAGCGTCCTGCCCTGGACAACTTGTGGCAACGACTGGAACACCAACCTGTGTGTGGAAGACGTGAGGAACGTCACCTACAGCAGCCACAACGGAACAAGTGCGGATGATAACATTACTGCTGGTGCCACACAACGCTGGGAAAATGTCACTCTAGGTCATACAGCGGCCGAGGAATTCTGGCAGTACGATTATTCCTTGGGGGCCATAGTTTGAATTAGTCGTTGGCCCGTTGTACTTGTTGTTATTAGGCAATTTTTTTAATAACTTATTAAATCACAGTGACATGACAAAATACAAAATTGAACTTTGTGATTTCAATAAAGTTATAGTTGAGGTGTTCAGTAACAAGACCGTGTTGTTGCATCTGATCCCTGAAGGGAAACTCACAATCACTAATGCAAAGGAGCTCAGCACACGCTTAAAATGCCCCTGACAAACCTCGCTGAGGACCAAACATGCCAGTTGTAGCATGTGTTAATCAACAAAACTCTCAAACGTGGATACCATGTACCGGTTCAGTCCAGCTGTTTCCGTCGTTGTTTCAGGTACAATGTGCTGAGTATATCTCGAGGTTTGGAGGAGGTGGGCTCTGTCCAATGGCACATCGTGGCTTGTTTGTTCGCTTCATATGTCATCATATTTCTGTGCATGATTCGCGGGGTCAAGTCCGTGGGTAAGGTAAAACGTATCATATCAGTATTAATGAGTTAAATGGCCGAAGAGGGATATGTTCGATGTCTACTTGGCATTGCCAATCAACCAGTGTGTATTCTAATTGCAATCACATTTATCTTATATACAACGCACATTGTTCGCCTGTTAGTTGTCAGAACAATGTCTTTCTGAAATACGGAAGGGTCCTCTATGTTACAGCTCAGTCACAAAGCCTGTATGTTCGCGAGTCTAAACAAGAACACAAGTACATCAGGAAACAACATGGTCACAATTCCCGAACACCCGATCCAATATAGTGAAAGTACTAAAAGTCAAGATGATAACAACTGCTTGTAGTTGGCATTGGCAATATGTAGCCATCTCACAGATGACACCCTTACCTTGTCAGCTTGCTGATAGGGTTAATTTCTTTGGTCATGTACACAAGGCGTCCGTAGTTCCAATCCCAGCACGTGACTCGGAAATTTTATGGCCGCTGAAATACATCAGTGTGCATCAGTGTGCATCAGTGTATGTACTTACGTCAAGATGGTAACAACTGCTTGTTTTTCCAGGCAGTGTACGTGACGGCAATATTGCCGTACATACTCCTGATCATCATCTTCATCAGCACACTGATTCAACCGGGAGCAGGATCCGGTCTGCTGTACTACGTCACGCCGGACTTCCGGAAACTACAGGATGTGAAGGTGTGTTCAGCAGAAAGTACGGCGCAGACCGTTCTTGCAGGGTTCGGTGGTAGGGCTTTGTAGTAGAATCCCAGGGGTAGCGTTTTGTGGTGGAATCCCGGGGGTAGAGTCACGTGGGAGAATCCCGGGGGTAACTTCTAGTGGTAGAATTTCGTGGGTAGAGTCAATTAAGTCAAGTGGTAGAATCCCAGGGGCAAACTCTTGTGTGAGAATCACGGCTGTAGAGTCCCGTCAAGTGATAGAATCCCAGGGGCAGAGTCTCGCGGGATAATCCAATGGTAGAATTTGTTCGTAGGATCCGGGTGTAAAGCTTTACAGCAGGGTTATGTAATAAAAATAATGGGGTAGGTAATAGTTTTTTCAGTAGTTATTGTTCCCATGCATTTGGTCAAGTGATATAGCATCATACAGACTTGAAAAAAAGTAAAACATTTTCCATAAGAAAATAAGTGCTTGTAAAGGATTGTGTTCAAGACAACAAGAGAGTAACTCAAAAATGTCTCTGTGATCATTTAATAATGAACAAGAATTCTTGGTCAAATATTATGAGTTCGGTGTAATTATTATGATGGTAATTATGACAAGGTGTGGCTTGAGGCGTTTCTACAAGTGATGTATTCTCTGGGACTAGGCTGGGGTACCATTGGCACCGCTTCCAGCTATAACAAGTTCCACGAGCCGTGTCACAAGTAAGTTATGGTCGAGGAGACATGAGGTGTCAGCCTAATCCTTCCTGGGATACCTCTTCATTCGATTAGCATACTTAGACCGTGCTGATCCGGATTAGATCTTCAGCAACCCATGCTTGTCGTAAGAGGCGACTACGGGATCGGGTGGTCAGCCCGGCTGATTGACTTGCGTAGATCGATGCTCATGATAATCACTGTCTAATTTCCTCTCATACCCAAACATTCGCTTCACGTTAACAAGAATAGCAGTGGTGCACCATGTCCATTCCAAAACCCTAATGTTTATCACTGCCAAATTGAGAGACCATATTGCGAGACAGACTATTTTGAAGGCACGTGTTTAGGAATTGCACCAAATTGCGTGTCCGCCCTCAGTGTAATACAAGGTAATACCAACGTTGCAAATTTACGCTGAGGAAACGTTATGCTTTGGGCTCCTCACAACGTTATAACAACGTTTCTTATAAACTTTGAGATTCTTTCTTCACTATGAAGCTACAGCCTCAGAAAACACGACCAAAACAACATGCAAACCGTGAAATTGTCAGCTAGGTAGGCTTTGTGGCTGATCATAACGCATTCCTCGTCAGTGAAAGACGTCAACCCTCTGTGGTCCCTAGTATGGTGATCTACCTTCAGTTGTCGGCGATCTCTAGCCTTTTTATAATATTGTATTATCCAAATAGTGCTATTAGTTTTAACTTTCTAAGCTAGTTTTTCGTCGGCAGGTTTTTATAATATCTATATATATATATTCTATTTCAATGTCAAATGTTCTCGTCACGATATGGCTGACATATTGCCAATGTGACGTTAAATAATAACTCACTCACTCACTCAACCCTCTGTGAAACTAATGAGTGTTCAGCCCAATTAACTAGAGACATATCCTTTGATGAACAATTGTCGATGCTCTCAGATGCACCTTATTTTATCTTATATCATACTCAAGACAAAGAGGCTTGACATTCTTAAGATGCCCCACATTGTGGGATGTACATATGACGTCATTCCAACCGTGGCGTCACGTCACAGTATCATTAAGTCATGTAGGGATACTTTTCATGTGGATTTGTCATAATCAACTCTTAACTTCTCTTTTACGTTTATCATAAGATATATTTATTCGGGGTTAAGGTGGCGCAAATAGAAGACAAATAATAATCCCCAGTGAAACTTGAACTAGCGTCCGCCAGAAGATTGCACACAAGATCAGTTGTATCTATTTCTGATAGGGACGCCATCATAGTGAGCACGATATCTGAAGGTACAAGCATCTTTGCCGGCCTGGTGACCTTTGGCATCCTTGGAGTGATGTCCGAGAAAACTGGCGTCCATATTTCGGATGTAGTTTCCAGCGGTGAGTAAGGTGCTTAGTTTGCTTTGGGTATTTTTTTCTTACGCCCAGGTTTAAATCTAGTGAACACAAAAAGGCGACATCCTGATGTCCACGAAAAACACCAGCTGCAGCTGTTTCACTACAGCTTAAATGTCAAGCTGTGAACAGCTGTATGTATGAGCCCTTTAAATACCTGTGGGCGGCCACTATGGTCGTACGTTCAGAAAACATAGACTAGGAACTTGGGAAATGGTCAAAATGGTGATGACATTGTAAAGTGTAATCGCGTTAGATCAATTTGTAACTTTCAAAGCAATGGTCTATTGTTTTAAATAAAACTTTGTTCTTGTACAACCGTACATGGTTGCATGATAATATAGAAAATGAAATTCCGTTATCAGTCTCTGATATCCCATACTTATATTATATACACAGACATATGTTATATGATGAACGTTTATTACAAACATAAAGTCTTATGTACTCATTCAAGGATAAAAAGTACACAAGGACAATAACAGAAGAAAGTTTATACAATGCTGTTACTCTATCCTGATGAAGGTCCAGGGCTAGGTTTTGTAGCCTACCCAGAAGCTCTGGCGCAACTTCCGGTGCCTCAGTTGTGGTCCTTCCTGTTCTTCCTGACGCTTCTGGCTGTGGGTCTGGATTGTCAGGTGGGCGTCTCCATGTTGCCATATATAAAAACATTACGTGAGTATGCAACATTGACCCTGAACGTTGTGAGGACAGACAAGCCGTACTCACAACAGGCAAGTTTTGAATGCAGACGTTTATATAAACGAAAACTAAATTTAAAAAAAATGATAAGAAATCACTGTTAAAAGGAGACTCCTTTGTCCTTCACCAGCATGTTTTAAGAATATCACTCCGTAATGATACTAGGTGTCCACACTCCTGACACGTCATAAATACATGCAAAGACAAGTCAAGTAGTTAGGTCCATTAACACTCACTAATAGGTACAAAAAGAAAATTGTTTCAAAATGAAAGTGGCCTCCATATATGTGCAATACGGCCATGTAAACCCAATGTAATAGCCATCGTAAAGGAAGTACATGATTGGTAAGTTTATGACATTGGGTATATTTATTTGGCCGAACTAAGCGGACGCAGACACATTTCCACACAGTGCAAGGGTGTCAGCATATTTGGTCTTGGTGCCATTTCCTCATCACAAAAAAGGCAGTTGGGTGGCCTAGTGGTTAAAGCGTTCGCTCATCACGCTGAAGGTCCGGGCTCGATTCCCCAAATGAGTACACTGTGTGATTGCTGGAATATTGCTAGAAGCGGCGTAAAACCATACTCACTCACTCAGTCATGACAGATGATTGGATGACCACAAATGTAAATTTTGTGCTTTCAGTTCATGAACGTGGAGGTCATCACAACAGCCCTTGTAGACAAATACCCGAAAGCTCTGTCACGAAAGCGTTGGCTTGTAACCGCTGGTGTATGTGTGATGTGCTTTCTTGCAGGAATCTTACTCTGCACGCAGGTAAGATTTACGTTTGGCCCTCGGCTTATGACTTTGGACATGGTGCGTTGAAGCTCCACGTGGAACAAATTCTATGACCTGGTTATGATGCCTTCAAAGGACTGGTTGGCTGGTTGGTTGGTTGGCTGGCTGGCTGGTTTAACGCCGCACACAGAAATATTCCAGCTGTATGGCGGCGGTCTGTAATTAATAGAGTCTCTGGACAAGACAATCCAGTGATCAACAGCATGAACATCGATCAACGCAATGGGGATACAATGACATAGGTCAACCAAGTCAGCGAGCCTGACCACCCGATCCCGTTAGTCGCTTCTAACGACAAACATGGGTTGCTGATGACAAATTATATCCTGGATCTTCACGGGGCAGGTTGCGTGGATATTCATGACCATCATCATCATCATCATCATCATCATCATCACCGTCGCCATTGCCGTTGCTACTAGTTGTTGTTGTTGTCGTCGTCGTTGCTGTTGTTCTTGTTGTTGTTGTTGTTGTTGTTGTTGTTGTTGTTGTTGTTGTTGTTAGGATGTTTATTGCGGTTTCAGGGCGGCCCATACATCCTTCAACTCCTGGACTGGTATATAAGTGCTTTATCAGTCTTTCTGTTCTGCACACTGGAATGTGTTACCGTGGTCTATATCTACGGTGAGCTATATTTCAAATCATTACCACATGAATGCCTATTTCTCTGGGCGTTGCTATCTCTGATGCAGTTAGCACAAAATATAAATAGTAAGTTAGTTTATCCTACGAGATGTATTTCCGCTGACTTAGGAGATATACTGAGGGGAAAAAATAAGGGATCACATGAAAGGACAAGTGTTCCTTAGTTTTTCCAAGGTTTCTTCACAAGCTTTGTATCGCATAGCTTGTGAAGAACCTGGAACAAATAAGGGAACACTTGTGCTTTCATGTGATCGCTTATTTTTTCCCTCAGTATATATTTTTTTTACATTTTCTTCTTTCTTGTGGTAAATATAGCAACGTTTTCGTGTTGAACAGCTGGACATGCCTTTAGGTCAGCACGATATCTACTTGTAATTTTATATGAAGCTGAACAAATCATACCTGGTTTGCTGTTAAACTTTGTGTATGTGCACTATATGATGTCATACATGTATTCCAGGAGTGAAGCAGATGAGCAAGGATGTTGAGATGATGATTGGAAAACCACTTCCGACTCTCGTAAAGATCTTTTGGGCTTTCGTCATACCAGCAGTGCTCCTTGTAAGTGATCGAAGGTTGTTAATAGAGATTGGAAATCAATTTCTTACCTTTTGCTTATAGCACGAACATCAGGGCTAATTGTGGCCAAATTGATCTATATTTTAAACATTAAAAATGATAGTTATTTTAGGTATAAAACATATTTTCCTAATTGTCCTTCTTCAGCTGATTCCTTTCCTGAGGTTGTATAACAAAGTATGGATTTCCCTGAGGTGTTCAGAATGCAACAAACTTCATTCATGTAACATGAAGCTTCTGATGGATGTTTCAGACTGCCTTCATCCTGACACTCCTTCAGTACCAACCGCCGACCTACGGCAAGTACACCTTCCCCGGCTACGCCAGCATCATCGGCTGGTTCATCGCCTCTGTGTCCATCATCCCATTGCCAGTTTATATGATTCTGGCTGTGAAGAAGCATATGGCGTCACATACGTTCAGACAGGTTAGTGTTAAGTTCGTCTTGTGATAGCACTTTAGGACACCATTATTCCATTGCCAGTTTATATGATTCTGGCTGTGAAGAAGCATATGGCGACACATACGTTCAGATAGGTTAGTGTTGAGTCTTATGATAGCACTGTAGGACACCATTATTCCATTGCCAGTTTATATGAATCTGGCGGTGAAAAGCATATGGCCTCCCACACGTTCAGAGAGGTTAGTGTTAAGTTCGTCTTGTGAAAGCACTACTGGACGCCAACTTCTACTTAAGAAACTATTCAAATGTGAGAACAATTCAAAGGAAGTCTGCGCCGATTCGCATAAGATCGGTTAAGAATATGCAAATATTTGTTGTTGGTTTCTTTTGGTTTTTTGTTTATTTTTTTTCCCTTATCTGTTTTTTTTTTTTCTGGGCTTTTAGGGAAGTTGTGATTTGTGTTTGCGCACATGGGCATCTCTGTCCATCAGTAATCTCCCAGTGATGTAGCATGTCGTACAGCAAGTGATTTCGTAAACAAACCAGTGATTGATGGCATAAGCAAAGTCGATTCGAATCGACTCTCCTTTCAGACATGTGAGATCCGATGAATGAATGAATTAAGACAGATGTTCAAGCCAGATTGAAATATTGAAGGCATTCCTTGACACAATAAGTATAACTTTTGTGTTAATGTTTCAGAGTATCCAAATGGCTCTTCGCCCCGAGGATGTGTGGCGTCCTTCTGATCCCCTGTACAGGGGGGAAGTACCGAGACAACCTTGTACATACACAGTATTCCTTGAAGGACCATATGACAAGTGTGTTTACAAAGTAACATGTCAGTGATCAAAAGCTCGTAACATCTTGGCATCATAACATTCCAATACCTCCGTCATCTGCCACCAGTTATTAGAAAATCAATCTTCATTGTACTTTGTATGTTTACGGTATAATGTTACTTTCGCTAGACAGGGAGTTGTTAGTCATTGATTCCGGGACAGGCATAACATGTGATCAACATTATGAACAACGACCTCCGTCTGAGTATACCGCCCATGTCGAAGAAGATATCTGTATATTTCAGTGATAATTGACATTAAATTTGCAATCAATCTTTGAACTTGTATTACGTTTGTTTTAGGCGGTGTTTTAATTAAGCTTGGGATCCTATTTAACTGTCGTCATTAGCTTTGTGTTGTTAGGATGCTGGTTATCTTCAATAAAAAGTGTGAGTGTATGTCTATGTTTAAATATGGGCGACCCGTGAAGATCCGGGGTAGAATAGGTTTTCAGTAACCCATGCTTGCTACAAAAGGCGACTATGCTTGTCGTAAGAGGCGACTAACGGGATCGGGTGGTCAGGCTCGCTGACTTGGTTGACACATGTCATCATATCCCAATTGCGCAGATTGATACTCATGCTGTTGATCACTGGATTGTCTGGTCCAGACTCTATTATTTACAGACCACCGCCATATAGCTGTAATATTGCTGAGTGCGGCGTAAAACTAAACTCACTCACTCACTAAAATAAGGGCGATCTAGTTGAAGAAGCACATGTTCTGAGTGCTTGTGAAACCATGGTGTACCATGATCAGCCGATTGATACAGTAACGTAGATTGTGGTTGGCTCTTGAAATTTTTGTTTTGTTTGTAAGTGGCCCGAATGAAGTAGGGATCTTGCACCATTAGGTTATGGTATAACATAGTCTTGATCCATTACGTTATTCTGATGTTGAATTAAACGCTCCTTATATAACGTTTACAAATTCAGATGTAGGACTTCACCCACCTGAAATGTAAATATAGAATATGTTTCATATTAGATTCACACACAAAGATTTGACAAACGAGATCAACTTTCAAACACCCAGCTTACTCTTCATATTGAGCACTATTCCTGCAGCTCGAAACTTTGTGGTTTACATTTCACAAGTTGTGAGGTAAGTCGAGTCAGATCTCTCTGCAAAGAGAGTGATACGGCTCACTAGTTGTTTGAACAATCTTACTGCGATCAAGTCATTAGTTAAGTTTTCAAAACGATTCATGGTAGCTGTACCGGGGCAATGACAAAAATTATATCGATGCAATGCCCTATTTTTCCTGTTTTAAGTTTACGTGATTGCTCTGTCAGATGAATTTTTCACTAGCCATGGCTTTTGTTAAGGACGGGAGCAAGATCTGAAGCGTACAATCAGCTCAACTCTGCCTTTGAAAATCATGCTTCGAATATGGAAAGGGTTCTGTCTTATATATTTACATCGCTGCTTGACAATTAGCAGAACTGTTCTGTCAGATGAACTATTAACTAGCCCTGGCTTTGTGCAATCGATGAAGCGGGATACTCTCACCCCGTGTTATGATCAATTGATAATGATTTGTAAACAAATACACATGATAGAATCTGAAGCGTACAGTCAACTCACCTCTACCTTTGAAACTGATGCTTCGAATATGGAAAGCGTTCTGTCTCATCTATTTTCATCGCTGCTTGACAGTTAGCGCCGTTTCGGTGTTAATCCACGATAGTAACTTGAGTCTTGTCTGAGATGAACACAGCTGCCAACTAAGAATTAGCGTTGCACATGCCAGCCTTCAATAACTGATGGATGATCTATATAAGTATGGTTTCTGTGCATTTTCTTTGTGCTAAATCAATCTCACCATCAGATCTAAGTGCTCGTTACTGTTACACAAAGTTCCGTGCACAAGTTAAGTCAGAATATCCTTTCGCAAACTTTGGAACAAC